CTCGCATACGTCACCGTTACTAGAACTGAGGCAGAATGAGTGACAAGCGATTGCAGTGGTAATTGGTAGTGAGTAGATACGAGGATGTGCGTAGAGTATCGTGAGGTGGTGCTATGGTCACGTTGCATTCTGCAAGAGTCATTCTAGCAAGTGGAGACAGTGTTGCAAGACGTCAAGAGGATGGCTTTAACTGGAAGGTGTAGGTCGTCATCGATGTGTGAGATTGTGCTGTGGGTATGCTTGTGGTGTGTTGGTTTTTCTGTTTGTTTTCCATTTCAGCTCTGTCCATGTGACCCAGGTTCTCGCAATGGCATCCAAGTCAACGTGTATTGGTCGTGATGGAAGAAGGGGACGGATCGGTGTTTTGCCGGGTAGTGTCAATGTAGTTGAATATTAAACGATCAATTCATGGTTGTTTGCTCAAAACCAACTTCCCCAATTTTCGCGGAGGCATCAATACGACAGTCATCGTCTCATCGGTCGCTGTTCAGAAAGAAAATCAAAAACTGTCAAAAGTAATATCGTGATTTGTTATTGTAATATTTGTCCATAGATCTTAGTTTATTATGCTGGTTATATGTTGGTGTTAGTATATAGAATTGTCGAGCAGCCTATCGGTGTTTAGGTTTTGCGTCCGTCAGTACTAAACGTTTCTGAAAGTCTTTTAGGGATAGCGAGAGGCCCGGCGTAGCAAGAGCTGAGCATTAACTGTTTTTGAGACGTGATTGACATTGACAGTTTTTATGAGACTTGACTGACAGCAGTATTTTTGTGACCGTGAAATGTAATGGATCACACTTAAACGATAATTCAGGAGAACTCGCAGACTTCTTGGACAGTTTAATGATATATAGAAGTACTCTTGTGTCTGTCAACTTCACAGATGAATTGAATTGAAATTCTTTGCTTGAGACTGTTGCCAAGAGATTACCTGTTCTTCTGCAAATAAAGTCCATGAAGATCAGCTCCCGTATAGAAGAGCAGTGTTTAGAGCTTGGGTTGGATGATATTGTGAGCCTGGTGAAAGACGGTGTCAACTAAGCTTTGAGTAAGTTTGCTAGTATACTGCATCCCACCCCTGGAGTAGAGAAATCAAGGAGCAAAACGCAATCCTTTATGACGAAAGGGTCTCAGGAGAGTGGATATCGAAAAAACTCTATGGTGTCTACTAATCCATACAAACTTAGTGAGTGTAACAACTTCCGTGGGACATCCCAAACAGATAGGTTGCAAGTTGCGAGCGAAACACGGTTGCGTTTCATCCGTTTGCAAGAAGTGCATACAAAGGCGAGCTGCCAAGCAGTGAGCAAGTTTAGTGGTAAGCTAAACATGAAGTGAGCGTCCTCCATTTCTGAAGCCCTATGTTCCACTAGGAACGTATAATAATAAAGCAACAAAAAACACCTAGGGAGAAACGATCTCACCGACTGGAAGCGTCTTGACAAACTATTTCGCAACGTCATGTCAGGCAATCGATCGACTGCGAATATGTCGACATGAATGTGGGAAGTTATTGGCCGACGTCATTGACTAGGGTTTTTTCAGGGAGTTGTTTGTATCTCAGTTACCGCAGTCTTAGCATGCTGCGCTTGCGACACTCCAAGGTGTTATATTGAACGATCCAGCATCTACTGTGGATAAAATTATAGAAATAACACAGCGGCATGCCACATAAATGCCCTCGGTTGCTGAACAGTTTTCGAGTAACGACACTGCATTGGCAACTCTGTTAAGCTACTACTTAGGTTAAATAGAATTCCTCTCAACGGCGAAACCCACATGATCGGTCAAAATCCAAACCACGCTCAATTAAAATGCTGACTGGTGTTGGTGTCACAATACCGGGAAAGTGGAAATGTCTCCGAAAACCTTGTAATTTTGGCAATAATTCGAAGACTATGGGAATCCACCTCACCGACTCTCATTATTGGCAACCGTCTCTGGCAGCGGTAGCCACTTACTATACATCCACGATTAAGTCAACCATACCCGGTTATTTGTCGATACAGGCACAGGGATAGATCGACAGAATGAACCTACTTTCAAATGACTGCCTGCAAATGGAAAACCTACAGCAACCTCTGGTAGGAAATACGCCTCTCTAAACATAAGTTAACGAAAACTCACTAAGTGGGCATTCCTTCTCGCTGACGTCACAATGCCTATCATTGGCAAACACCTATTCAACCATCAGGATCGTCTCCTAAATGTCCGCCTTTATTGTTATGACACTTATTCTTAGACATTGTGTACAATAACCTAATGGTTAGCTTTGTATTGGTGCAAGAATAAAGGGTTCTTGAGTCACCAATTTGCGTTCTGGTTTTTTGCGTTGGTTATTCAGCGTAGTTCCTGAAAGTCTTCCAAGGACAGTGTGAAGTCCAGTGTAGTCAGACCTTGACATTGACAGCTTCTGATACTTCTCCTGAAGTTATTCGTCTTATTTGTTGTCAATTCGTCTTTCCTCGCGTCTGCAAGTCTTCTTTGGACAAGTGTAATTTGAAACTTTTCTGGATTGTTTAGTCAGCTTCAATAATGCCTGAGTCAAAGAAAGGACAAAGCGTTTTGGAAGCAGACAGGAAAGTAAGTAATGATGAGTTGCCTGTTATATGTAATGATGTGTGTGATGCTATGCATGATAAGATTGATGTCCATCTTTCGCCGCCTAGGGATAATAGAAATTTTAAAATTTCTAAATTTTAGTCACGGTGTTTCGACGAAAACCCAGCTGACTACCTACAGTTTATCAAGGAGTTTGAAGTCATGTTGAGTGGGTTTGCAATAAATTATGAAGTGAAGTTGATGTATTTGTTGAGGTATTGCACTGGTGTTGCTGCAAGAGCCATACAGTGCTGCAGGTTTATGTCTCCGAACGAAGGATATACAGAGGCTATGAGCATATTACGTCAAAGGTTTGGAAAACCATTTATGATATCCATAGTATTTTTGAGACCTTGAAATGTAATGGATCACAGTTAAACGACATTTCAGAGGAACTCGCAGAGGTGTCGACAATAAAAACAGCCGTAAAGTGGATATTTGTGATAATGATCAGGATAGTACACATTTGTCTTTGGCTGACCATGATGAGATGAGCGGAATGCCTACTTCTACTGAGTTGAACAAAGGTTCTGTACAACTTGAACTTGAAGTAGAATTAAAGACAGAATCAGTTGCAGAAGGTATGGATACTCGTGAGACCGTCGGTGTAATTGGTCAGCGTGTAGCCCACCTATCATTAGACGTTAATGCTAAACTGGAGCTAATAGTAAACGACGGAAGTGGTGGTAATCTTCCAGTTAGACAACTATCTGAAAGCCGAACAAAAACAGCTTCTGATCCACCGCTAAGTTCATCAACTGGTATCAATCAGTCGTCGTTGGTGTTGTCATTCACAATGAAACAGACGCCCATCAACTCAAGTATCCTGTGCAATGATTATGACAGTATCGGTGCATTTGAAAAGACGAAAGATATTGGTCAGTTTAGTGAGGATAAGCCAAGTGTAAACGAGAGAGTAACTGGTAAACTGACTTGCACGAATAAAGGCATTTCTAGTTTCAAGTTACTATTTGAATGTTATTATCTTTGGTGTAAATTACTCTGTTTCTACACTAGGTTGATGAGATATGTCGTGTGTTTGTTGGTCATCTATGTTCTACGATACAATGACATGAGTGTGTTACCGTTCAGATTTGAGGATATAGCTCATAGAAGGAAGTCAGCAAATGAACTCTGCAACGATTTTCCAACCTAGGGCGTCAACCTGAGAAGGGTTGTAGGCGTACTGCAGTAAGTCCTACAATTCTTCAAGGGTGGTTCATCGAAGCGCAGTCCATCGCACTTGGTGTGTTATTTTGTTTCTGACACTTAACAGAGTATTTGTTTTGCAGGGATTTTGTTTGGTTGCGTACATGATTTCATCATGAGCTGACATCAGTTAGAGATCCGCTGGAAAACCTGGAGTACTGGACAGGGTTTTTCTTCCTAGTTTGGGACTCTTCATCAGTAATCACGCACTGGGGTTCGAATCCAGGCCCTCTGGTTAAAAGGTGAGCTCTAGACTATTGCTCCACTGCGACGCTATATCGTAAACAGGCAGAAGTTAGAATTCAAGGACCATTGGATTGGGTCCCAGTGGCGCAATGGCCTACGAGCCCACCTTGTAACCAGAAAGTCGTGGTTTCCTATGACGTTGTGTGCGTATTGCTGAAGAGTCCCAAACTATGACGAAACAGCTGTCCAGTACTTTCAGGATTTCCAGTGGATCTCTAACTTATTTCAGCTCGTGACGAAGTCCTCTATGCAACCAAAGAAGGAGTTCATGGTAGCGCCCACCACTTTAGTATAACGCAAAATCTGACACAAACAACTTCCACAGTATTCGTTACACTTAAACCAAAGGCAAGGCAAAACAAAAGAATTGAACGGCCATATTATAAATTATGTTTCAGGTCCAAATCAGAGTGCGAGATGATTGCTTAACTAGCAAAGGATCATGCACGAACGAACAAACGTAACACGATGGCGTGCTAAATAGCGTGGATGCCTGACCCTAAGCCTTTCAGCTAAACAAGTTGACCTAAGCAGTGGCGTTTAGCATCCAGTATTCAGTGATGAATGCTGTGGCCGATAATTCGGCCAGCTGAAAATGGCCTTTTTGCAGGAAGCCGACTGATCATAAAGCATACTGAGAACTCACATGTCTGCGCATAGCATTGGACCCTTGATACAGACGGGTTTTTCGAGAGAATCTACTTTGAAAAGAAGAGGAATAATACTAGACGCAGAATCTTACCGAAAATTGAGAATCTTTTTCTTATAATTAAGGAGCGATCTCGGACAAATTCGCGGGTTTGGATATTGAGATAAGTTTGTTTAACTTATGTGCGTGATATATTTACAGAGTACATCGCTTCTGGGAATGATTTGGTTACTGAAGGTCGTGCTGGATTTACATATCACCAGAACTAAGTAAATAGCTTACTTCTAATCTCCAGTCATTACGTTTCCGAATAAAACCTTTATATCCAGAAATTGCGTAAGTTTGTTGGTTATTAAAATCATTACATTTTTCCTACTCTTTCAATATCGTTTTTACGAGCTAGTATAAACCAATTTGATTTCTTTGTGCTCGCCTCTTGATTGTGAGGTATAAATTCCTGATTTTCGGTAAACTTATGCGTAGCTCGTCCCGCCATTCGACTGTCGTAGCTTCGGTTGAGGGGCATTGGGATTAATTATATGTCGTTTGTAGTATGAGGTGTGTTATATTTTTTATTTTTTTGTTTTTGACTACAGCTCTATTCCACGCCGTATTTTTGGTTCAGGTACAGAATTTTCAGCATGGATTACGGTAGCCTAAATTTTGCAGGCCGACCATTGATATCAGACTGTTACTACTGTGAATAGAGTTGATCCTTTCACCAGTTAGTCCTCCGATATCGTCGTCAAAAGAAAAGAGATAATAGATATAATTAATGAAGTTATTCAGACTAGCAGACAGGAAAAGAAATGAAGAAAACACTCAGCTTATTAAATTTGAAGAATAATATGAGCAATATATATATATATCTGCACCAATAATAATAAGTGCAGTTAAAGTTGTCAGGAAAGTAAGACGGGAGAGAATGTAAAGAAGTAAAACGACAGACTTAGTTGTCTACTCCTGAATGGTGTATGGGTTTTTTTATTACAGCTTGATTCCACACTATTTTTGGTACAAGTATGGAATTTTCAGCATGGATATCGGTAGCCCAAATTTCGCAGGCCGACCATAGATATCAGGTGTCCGTCGGCAGGGATCAAACCTCGACCATGTGCATGGTCGGCGAGGTCCTTACCACTGTGCCCCCTGTCACTTCTGAATCTCGCATTGCACCGATTCCTGAGTTCCAGGTATCCGTCATTGTCGGTCTGACTCTTAGATACACGCCATATAAACCAAGGGTTCCGCTTTGCTTGCAGAATACATTGCGTGCCTCTCTTCAGCCATGATAACTCCCTTTTGGACTGTATTGTACCTAAAAGGACGGTATCCGAGATTGCTGTGGAGTAATCTTTCTTACCACCTCCCAGTGTTTATCCACAGATAGCTCATCCCATGCAAAGGGCCAGTCTGCGTCAGAGAAGAGCCTCCGCATCTCAGCGTAGTCAGCCTCACTGTGACACAGACATGGTCGCGTAACGTCCCACTGCAAGTGCTCACGGAGAACCAGATCGAAACCTATGACTGCATGGTCACTACTTCCTAGAGGAGTCATGATCTGGACCTTCTCAACGAGTAGTTGGTCACTAGTCAAAATGTAGTCTAGTTTTGATGACTTTCCACTAGGACCCCACCTATTGTCGTCTCCAACATTCTCAGTCAGTCCTGTATTTCGAATAGTTTGCAGTAGATTTAGGCCAAAGTTTCCTTTAGCATACTCCGAGCCAAGGTTCAGTGATGGGGCATTAAAATCTCGAGCTATGGTGATTTGGTCATAGCCCAAGTCTCGTGTCCCTGTGATGGTGCTGAGCAGTAGCTGGCTGTGCTCTGCCCCACTGGTGGGTGATCGGTAGATACCACCCAGTAAATTCTTGATGTGGCCTACGGTGAAATGACACCGTATGGAATCTGGGAGTTCAATAACTGGTGGGTCCGTTGCGCGCACACATTTAAGTTGCCTTTCAAAGTATATAGCAACTTCCCCTCCTTCCTTATTATCCCTGTCTCTCCTGACCAGAACCATATCACCTATACTGATTTCGTTGTCGGTGATAGTGTGGGTTAGCCAGGTTTCAGTGAGAATGATCATTTTGAGTTGTAGGTGTGCTTGGTGATTTCGAGGTTCGCCTACTTTTCCTCTCAGTCCTCTCACATTGCTATATAAGCAGCTGGCAGTGAGTCTCACAACCTCAGTGTGTTGTGGGGTAGTTAACGTGAAGCTGTCTGCTAGTAGGGGACTAAATGCTGGGACTAGTTGGCCGATTCTGATGGAACCGTCCCGTTATAGTTTTTTTCCATGGATTCAGGTAGGACACTTGGGTGACACAGACTGTTATTCTAAGTACTGTATCGCGCTAGTGTCACTGAAGTTTGGGGACGTATTAAAGCCTCCGTTTGCTGCCTCCTTATGGTTCGAGGTCTGCTTTCGCATCATCGGATGTGTCCTCTCATTTTCTCCTTGGTCTCATACCACCGTTGAAGTGCTATGGAAAACTGCTCCGGGGGGTTGGATGTGACACTTAGCAGCTTTGGAGAGCTAATCAGTGTTAGATAAGTGGGGCGAGGTAGTCGGAAAATGGAGATGGCTCCAGAAGCGCCAAGGGCCATCTGAGATGACAGTCATCTCCATTGCTGTACGTCATGCGTGTGTTTTTCACAAGCAGTGCCCGTTTCCAGCTCCGGAACACCGTGTACGACCATGGAGATAGAAGGCATCAGTTCCGGTGACCCCCTCACCATTTGTCTGTTAGCCCATGGTCTATCATGTCTCACCCTTATGCTTATGTCTGACGATGGCTAGTACCCGATCCACTAATAGTATTCTTTCGGCCTCTTCGGCAGAGTCCAGTGTAGCCCTTAATGGGGTTGGTCTACCCTATGGCGTGTGGACACCCCTGTACAGCCTGCACAATTTCGCTGAACTAATGTTCAGACCTAATTTATTGCACAAGTTGGACCACTGTTCCTGATCAGACAGGGCCGGTTGTTCAGGCAAGCTGTCCTTGCTCACAGGTACATTAAAAAGGATAAGAGAATTAGACCGACTGACCTCAGACTTAGATTTGGCCTCTGGCTGAGTGTATTCCTTTGCAGGATCTGTAACTTTAGGCTTCATCAGGTTCTGACCAGCCTTTGCTGTGTTGCCAAGCTTACTAGTGGATGCAAGTAGTGCTTTGGCAATTCTATCTTTCCCTGATGTGTAGATGCAACCTGGGGACTCTTCACCTTGCAAAGATTAGCATTTCCAGTCAGTTGGACTGGAGTGTCTTTCTTACTCTCTGTACCAAGTTTCGGTAGTGTGGTGTTAGCAGGTGGGGAGCTGCATGAGACTGTATTGAGACACAAGAGTGGCGTGCTATTTCCGCTATCCGCAGACACGCTGTATGGGACTGTGCCAGGACGACAAAGTGGACAGATATACCAAAACCATGGTCATGGGTTATTTCTCATAAACTCGTAGTATGATTTCGGCACCCCTTTGTCACAACGGCAGTGTACCCATCGTTTGAGAAAATTGCATTCAAAAACTGAGTTTTAGAAACTATGACACTACACACCTGACATTTGTCTCCCTTCCTTGATGACGCTTTCGAGGTCTTATGATGTCTTGAGCGTTTCCTTTTTGTTTTGCTGTGTTTCACGCAATGGCTTTTAGTGGATGCAGGTGTAGTATCCTGTCCATCTGGTATCGCCTGTGCCGTTTCAGTGCTAAACTGTAGCGATGCAGGCGAGACCTACACGAGGTTTAGGATCGGTATATGGGAAGGGGTTGATGTCCCTGGGTTTTTGCCTTCTCTGGCTGAAGCCCTTGTGACTACAAAATATGGTGTTTCATTGCTTTTCCTAAGGCTACTTTCAACAGTCATAGTAACAATCACTATGCTATATACGAATAAGAGAGAAACAGTATCTACCCACAAGAGCAAGAATAAGACTGATAAAGTACAAGATAAGGAAAAGAAAAGGCTTTCGACTTTACCTAGTACTTTCTGGATGATCGGCTTCACAGCAATCACGTTGTAGACCAACAAGTCTTGTTCATCTGAACGAGTGAGGAAGATGCTGTTTCGGCACCTAAAGCTTTGGCAGTAGTTCGAGACAACTGGACTTGCCACACAGAGATTCGATATGTAAGTAATGGTTGAATTTAATTCACCGACTAGGAAGATCAGGTTTCCCAAGCGGGTAATTCACAAAATAGGTATTTTCCGGTTGGAGACGGAAAAGCACGTCGTATTCGGTCCATAATAATGAATTAACTGTTTTAATTATCATATTATTCCTTTTATTCCTCAGAATTTCAGACTTTCGAAAAAATAAAGCTATTTTGATATCCCTCAGTATTGTTACATTGATATCGCCTAAAATAATTCCGCGTTTTATTTGAGAGACGTGGTGTAAGTGCTCTCGCTTGAGTGGTTTATGAAGGGCTTAGGCAAGCACTAAAGCATTTTTGAAAGGGTTGACATAGGCTTCAAAACTTCTGTCCTTGATCAATCTGAATTCGGAATGGTAAAGCGAGCTATCAAAAACTTCGGGTAGATAAGTTTTGATTGCAATAGATATAAAAAAAAGTAATTTTGGCTTGTGGCAATCGATATGTGGCTTAATGATCTGTACTCAAAAACGAGCTTATCCTTTCATATCCATGGTGTCTCGGCTATGTGATTATTAGGAGTTATTATTCTCGTTGTTAGATCAAACAATACCATTATTTTTGTGCATAGAATGAACCTTAAAAGAATGCGAACATATACCCAGTTTATCAAAGACAACTGAAGTTTTTCAAATCTTCAGTGGCTCTTCACCGATCAATGCTAAACCTTCTCCCATGATAGCATGGTAATTGCGTGTCTTAGACTTAAAGTATACCTTTGCACTTTACAGGGAAATCTCTTGAGACTTTGTCTAAGGTATCTTTCCTATGTAGATTTTGCTGCTTTTGATATTCGTATTCTTACGAATCCAGAATGAGAATAAGGCTTGGTCAGAAAGCGTTTGTTTTATAGCTCAAGATCGTTTATAATCCTGCAAATGTAGTCACTCCTCCTCGTAATGCAAATTTCAATAATCTCCAGTCATTATATCGTTTACTGTGCTTCTTCGTCCATCGTAGATATTCCGATATTTGATAACGTGAAATGAAGTTTTACATTGTTATATCAGTCGCCTATAACATCCTTTACTCCTGGCCTTCTGCATGTTACACCTAAAGTTGTTAAAACATTTAAGGTTTTAGAGATAAACCTTTCTTTCTACAACGTGTATTATAATACTCCATCAGTTATATATATGTATGTACACCAATATATGTATGTATTAATGCAGTGCAC